AGATCTGTAATACAAGACTATTCTAGAATAACTAACATTTCAAGGGTCAATGCTAGTGAAAATTGGTCAAGGGGTAGGGAAGATTTTGGGCGAAAATCAAGTGTAACAATATATTAAAAATATAAAGATATAAAATAATATTAGTTGTATAAATAATTATTAAAAGAATATTATAAAGATATGTTTTTCACAATGACTTATTAAATAGAATCCTATAATCAATAAAGATTTGTAATAAATAAAACTTTAATAAAGACTTGAGATAAAAAATTAAACAGTAAAGTAAAACCATAAAAGGCAATTATCAATTATAAATAGTATAATAAAAGAAAATTGCAAAACCTAAATAATTAGTTAGTTTATTATATTTATAATTATAAAGTTAATCCAATTTATACTTGGAAAATAATATTTGAAAAAATAAATAAAAGCAAATAAGCACTAGATTATATTATTTGATTTAATAGTACACATTAAAAATATTTTAATTATTTATTATAACAATGGTTATATAAAGTTTTGTTTTATATTAATAACAAATTTGCTAATTAACAATTTCAATATTATATAATATATATTTATTTATCGAAATAAATTTGATATAAAAAAATCAAGTTATTAAAAAAAAAATAAATTGGATTTATTAAAAAAGTATTTCAAAATATATCAAGTAAATGATTCTAAATTATGAAATATTTTGAAATTAATCGTAGTTAAATAATATAACTAATAATTAAAGTTGAAAATTAAATATAACAAAATGAACCATTTAAGAATTCATTTTTATTTATTTTTAAATTGGCAAGATCTTTGAAAAAAATAGTATTAGAAATATTTAAGAATTTGAAAGTTAATATTACTAATTTAAATATATAAAATTTCTTTTCACAATTACAATGTAACTTTAATATTGGTAATTTTCATGTCATTTGCACTTTATAAATTTAATGATTATAGTATCTTCAATATGAATTATATAAATATGAAAACTAGAATGAGCTTGAAAAAGGAGATTCCATAAGACTATTAAATAGCACAAATATCAAAGGAAAAAAAATACAAATATAATACATTGCTATACTTTTGTCTTTATTGCAAAGATATTTCCTGATATAATGTAGCTTACTCAAATTTTTATTTATAATTTACTTGTAATAATGTGATGTGTAATTAGCGAATCTGCTACTAATGTTAGTTTAGACTTGTCAAATATTAATTTATTATACTTTTTATAAATAATTAATAAATGAAATGAACTTTCAAGAAATTACAACTATCACATTACAGCATATTGTTTCATCTCGCATACTTATTACTGCAACATTTGGTCCCCTTGGATAATTATTACATGATGAGATAACGTAAATTGATAATTTACAAAATTTGACAATTGTAGAGTTGCGCAATATTAATTGGTTTAAACAAACTAACGTTAGAATTGACAAAATTAAGAGGGATTCTGGTTTCATTTTTGATGGTTGAAATCGGTGTTGAGTACTGTAATACTAAAATGGGCATGTTATTTACTGAAAAAAATATGGAACTTTTGCAAGTTTTGATTAAAGTTAGTATAGAAAATACATTAAATAGGATAACCTTTATTGCTATGCATTAATTGTTTATAGACACATGCGTTAAAAACACAAACTCTACTTAATATATTGTATATCAATTGCTTCGATAAATATAACTAACGTAAAAGATAAAAAATGCCCTCAAACTTCAAGTGCATGCAAATAAAGGATAAATGATATTTACAAAGAATCCTTTTCTGGTAATAATTTATTTGACAATAAAAATGTTACCATTATTGCGACTATCATAAAGAAAAGAATAAATCATCTTTATGATTCATGTAAAATAATTTCTAATTTTGCGTTTCTCCTAAAAATACAAAGGTATCGTTAAAAAGCAAGATTTTTATTGTAAGGAGATCGATTGTACATACCCGTCAGTAATACCCCCATATACGCAATAATGATCGTTTATTGGATTAATGGTGTCACCAGGATACTTTCTATTCTCTTTTATATGCAACTTATCAAGTAATTTTTGACTATTTTTTCTTTCCGGTTTTTCATTCTGTATGGAGACTGTTAATGAATTTCGCCCCCTCATCATACCGGTTTTGACCTGACATCAATTAACCGTGTTAGAATTTTAAACTTTATGTACCTTGCATCCAATGATACTTACAACCCATGTAATCACAAGGTAATGATAACGTTCACCGTCTTTCACTTTAAAAGAGAGTATGCCTTTTGTAGCAAGCATTCCTGAAATTTTACTGTTCTACTATTAAAAATAAATTATACAAATTAAAATAAAGAAATCGTAGGTTCTTACGCTTGGTCTTCTTCTGAAGGGTTAACATTACAACATATTTGCTCGTCGATATTACTTCCAGTAAATAATTCAGGTTGACAAAGTTGTAAAATGCTGTGTTTATTAGAAACCTTGATTTCTAAACCTACGTGCAGACCCCTAAAGATCCTTTTGAATTCGTTCACGATTATAGTGGGTATATTGCTACCGTATTCTACAAGAGACATTTTGAGATAAAAGAATTTAACCGAAAGAAACTATTTTCTATCTATATAAATTACCAGGATGTTGTACACAAGCATCATATCATTTTCCATTTACGTTTACACATAGTTGGGCGCATAATTTTTGTGAAATTCGTTTGGTTCACGGATTCTTTTTTCCTTATTTACTACATGCTACCTACTTAAGAAAATAATCTTAAAAAACATGTGTCTACATTTTAAGCGGATGGGGTTGTCGGTTGTGTCGCTCCGGAGTGATTCTGGTTCATGCAAGAATAATCACATCACATCATCCGACGTAAATTATTATGCGCCGCACATATCAAAAAAATTTTACATGAATGATGTATTCGTACACCACAGTACATACTTTACAACAACAATTTTTTATAAAGCTGTATAACACGGTAAAATTTCAAAACACGTTACTCTAATAAAAAATCTTATTAACAATGTACTATTTTAGAAGTTATATAAGCTTATGATAGTACTACTGTATTTCATAACTTTAAATGTTGATTTCTAATCTGTTTCCGTTTTAGCTAATTTACTCTAGGAACAACACAATCAGAACTAATAAACAGTAATCGACACAAAATTATAAAATGATTAAAAGAATTTATTAGATGTTGTTTGCATAAGGACCGGATGAAATAACTCCGTGTTGCTTATTCACAAAGTAAAAAAGAAAAAATACTTTGTTTTATTCTCGCTGAACCGGAAGTTAGGACATGCAAAATTTAACTGGCTATGGATAATGACAAATCAGCTTGTTAATTTAATTACTTATTTCATAAAAACATGAGATTTGTCAATGCATATTAATATCTTGTGATATCGTCGCTTCTTCGGTACTTCTCTTTTGAACTAAAAAAGCTTAACTCCCGAGGTGCGACTTAAATTTATCCAGCCTTTAACATTCTCTTGACTATCTTCTTTCTGTTAGATAGCCTAATTAAGCCAACCTGAATTTAGTTCTTTTATTATATCGTTATTATTATTGGGGTCGTGAAGGGCATATGCAAGTCTGTTGCTTAATAGAACAGGCCTGTGCATAACTGTCATTAATATTTATGACTAAAAATTGTGATTATTCATTCTCTCTTTATTTACTTTGTACAACACTCTTTGTATATTTTTTTTCTTCGATTAAGCTATTAACAAGGCTATGGAAATAAGAAGAATATAATAAAGAAAACAAGGAAACCAACGGCACGTATATAATATTGTATAACAGCAGCTTCATCAACTTTTTTTCTCTTATAGAATTTACCATCATGATTAAGGCAAATAATTCGCGATAAAACCATCACCTGAATAAGTCCGACCTTATATCACCCTGGCAACTTACAAAATAGCTAAATAAGCTACAAGAAAAAAAAATCTTCTTTGTTTAATATCATATACTGTATCTCTTTGTAGTATCATTTCAGGATTTGTCATGCCAGATAAGCTTGTTCTTGCTTATATGAAAAAAGAAATCATATGTAATGATACCTGTTACCTCGCCAAAGTATTTATGGATACGAGTCTGGCTTCTACATGTCGCATAACATTTTATTTATTTTAATATGATAAGTGGAACAAAGAAAAATCAATGTTAAAATTACTATATACTGTAACATATCGCCAATACTGTATCTCGCTATTGGTCATTTATTTCATTATTATTATTATTTTGCAGTACAATTTTTTTGGCATCAAAACCCTGTATAAAAGAACCTAAAATTGAAGTTAAAAACCGTCTCACACACAATTATAAAACAAATTGAAGGAAAATACTTTATAATGGTTAGCAAATATCAATTCCATTTAGCGACGAACTAGTTGTTTGCCTGATACAAATTGAATATGAGACATGTTCCATAACAGTTGCACGTGTATTATCACAAGATTATAATATATTCAGTTATATGTTAAATGTGTCTTCTCCAAAATTATCATTATTTTTAGCTTTGTCTAGAAAGTATGCTTAGGACTCACGTGAAATTATAGTCAATTTTGCGTTATTCATAAAATTATGAGATATAATTAAAAAGCAAAATTTATGATTAATGTAAATATAATTATATTTACTCGTCAGTAATGCCCCACGTACGCAAACATATATGTCATCAAGACTTTGTAATCTCCAGGGTTTTTTCTTTTTTCTTTTCTATTCAAGCTGCCATATAGATTATGACAATTTTTCCTTTCCGGCTTCGTATCAAGTATGGTGACGATTACTCCCTCTCGCCATGATAGTTTTGACCTATTCCATCAAATATATCAGAATTTTTAATACTCTAAATATTACACATCCAAAAACACCTACAGCCCATGTAATTATAATGTAATGATGATTTTTATTTTCATCTTGCACTTCATATGATAGTATGCATTTTAACTGGGATTTTCATGTTTTGTGATAAAAGTTAATCGTATACAAATTATAAAATAGAAAGAAAAAGAAATTTCCTACGTATTATCATCATAAAATGGATCGATATTATCACATATTTGATCTTCGACTTTACTTTCAGTGAAAATTCTGGCTTGCAAAGTTTAAAGCACCGTCTGTTGTCGACATTGATGTCTAAGCTTACGCGCAGTCCTTCAATAATTCTTTTAAATTCTTACGCGATTATACCAGATAATTTATCAATTTTTACGAGATCCATTTTGCGATGAAAAAAAAATTTTTTTAAATGTTTCTTTTGTAATTCATCGTAATTTGTACACGGGAATCATGCTATTTTAACATCTGCGTATTTCTTTCAGATAAGAAATAAGTTTCATCAGCGGTGTCTTTCTTCCATGTCACGTGAAACATCTCCAATAATTACTGTCTAATTGATGAAAGAATCTTAACAAGTTTATGTTTACACAGTAGATGCAGCTTTTACGATGTTAATCCGGAGTGATTCGGGCTTATATAATCCCAATTTATGTAAATCGGGTAAAGTGGTGTGGTGTAACTCAATTCATGAGATGTGTAAATATTTAACGTACTGTATCCATATTGCATCGGAGTGTCTTTTATTATCTCCATATGCGCATGTTCTCTTTTTTATTTGTTCCCTTCCACCACACCTTTGACCAAATGTTCTATTCCGCCTATTGTGCAGCTTTTGCCGTTTTAGATCTCCGGTCGTAGACTATGAGCGATCATCGGTCATGTTACGCAAAGCCTAGATGCGACTTAAAAAAAAAAAAAAATTTTTTTTTCTCTATAAACTCTTTTTAACAACTTTAAATGTTTATATTATTATTGTTGAAATGTTTACTGCATACCGTACTTATAATATGTTATTGTAAAATGGTCAAGTTTTATTTCTGATGTTTTAGCAAAAAGATTTATTTATAATTCAAGTTCGGTAAATAATAAAATAGCAATAAAGATATATTATTTAGAATAGGAAAAATCAAAAGAAAAATCCTTCTCACGTTTTTTTTATGCATTAGACATATAAACATTGATATTACCGTATTTAGAATGATCTTTTTTTCGAATTCATATTCGCTACACTTTTATAATATATTGTACTGTATATGACAATTTATAATATATCTAATTACTTAAATATGCAATTTTTATATTGTCTAAATTTTAAGAAATTTTCGAAATTTTTAAAGTATAAATTATATAAATTTATACAAATTATTTTTATCTTAGGAGGTATCCAAATCGAGAACATTCATCAAAGAGTCACCAAGTTAATTTTGTCAAATTTGATACACTAAAGTTTTTAAGAATGTACATAAATCAATATAATTATAAAATTATTTTTATCGAAATAGTCAGATGTATTGACATACAGTAAATAGAAATGAATAGTCAAGTAGAAATATTAAAAAAAATAAATGAAATGATTTATGATTATTCTGAAATAATCAAAATCAAAGATAGTAACCTCGTCCAAAATATTCAATAATAAGTTAATAATACAAGAGTAATTCGAAACCTACATGATATTTTAAGAATTTAATGCTAATACACTAATATAAAATTAATTTCCATTTTTATAAAAAGTCAAATTAGAAGCATGAAATATACACAAACTTATAAAATAGTAAATGACATTTACAAAAAATAATTTTATCTATTATTTTACATATTTCTATATGCATGTAAAAATTTTTAAAACTCGAAAATATTGAAAAATTTTAATACTGTTTTTTGAATATAGTATCATATATCAGTTTTTTTTTAAAAAAAAATAATAATAAATAAAGTAATAAATGAAATAATTTACAATAAAGTAATTAATAAGATATATTAAAACTCCTAAAAACATACAAGTTTAATACAATTTAATAATCAATAAGGTCAAAGAAAAGGTCAACATAATTTTTCTGTAAAATCAAAATTTTAACTTTATCATTTTAGAAAAAATAAATTATGTTTAAGAATATTTTACCTTAACTCTTTTTTATACAAAATAAATTTCTAAAAAAAATTTCTTTTTTAAAAATTTACAAAATAAAAGTCAAGAAAAGATAACAAGTTACAACAAAAGCTCCAAAGCTTTATAGAGCCTTCTTCTGCAACTAAATGCATTTTAAGATATGATAGAAGGGCAGACAAAAATCTTGACCCTCCTAAAATTAAGGATGGGTTCCTAAACTATTTAGCATATAAAATTTCACAGATCAATTATGTCACTTTTGAAGGTACATAATTATTTATTAATTATTTTAATAGGGACATAATTCAAAAAACACTTGGATCAAGTAACCTAAATTGCAAAAAACCTTTATATGTAGTTTTTTCTTGACTTTATATTTAAAAAAAACTTTTTTAATAATGTGAGACATTTAAATTATCTCCTTGCCTTTAAATTAGAAACTCATCTTTACCTAAAATAAAACCATATACAAAGAAGCCCACTACTACAATAATCAAAAAATTTATACTATTACTGAAAAACACAACCATCAGTAGCAATTAACAAATGACAAAAAAAATTTTTACTGCCAATACACAACTAGATAAATCTTTCCAAGATCACCAATAACAATAA